CCCAGAAGCAAATGCAAAAATTCTGGTCCGGCCGGACGTCCGGTACTACCTTTCTGGTCTTCAGCAAACTGGATGCTGTTTGAAGGTCAAAAAAAGTTTTCTGGTTGCCCGATATTCAGGGGCGTAGCCAGGATTTCCTCAAGGAGGGGGCCAAACGCACAGGGGCCCAAGATAACCCCCTCAAAATCCAAAAAGCCATCTGGTTGCATCCAATATTTTTGGAGGGGGCCCAAATAAATAGGAAAAAAATATTTATTAACAAAAATATTAGAACTTAGGGGGTAAGCAGTCCATGGGCCCTGTTAGATAGGCCCACGAATAGCTTCATAGAGTCGCCAGTCGGTTTTGAGGGCGGTCTGAGGGCCCGTAGGTCGGATGAGGGTTCTTCAGACCGTCAGAGGCCCCTACAGCGCATGAGAGCCTCGTAAGCCGTCTGAGGGTCATATAAGCCGCCTAAGGGCCACTAAGACCGACAAAAGCCCTCCTTGCACTTGCAGAGGCCCAGTCATGCCGACGGAGGGCTCTCTTAGACAAACTAAGGACCCGTTCAGGGCATTTGAGGGCTTCCTCAAACCGATAGGGCCCCCTCAAATCGACAGTGGATCCGATCCGAGCTCCCTCAAACCGATATAGGGTCAGACCAACAGTCGGAACGCATTGATTCTGTTTACACACCGTTGGACCCAAGTTGGACCCATCCCATCCAACTGGCCCCCTGGTTTCAATAGGGCCCCAAGGCTCTAAAATTGGGGCTCTCTTGGCCAAAGTATAACTACTCAGCTGTGTCAAAGGATCTGCCGCAGGGGCCTTTGCGTCGCCAAGGGCCCACTGTGTCAGCCAGGGGCCCCTATAGAATAAGGACCCCTGGCTTCCAGGGGGGCATGGTCCCTTCGGCACCCTCCTTGGCTATGCCACTGCAGGTGACAAACGTTCTTCCAGGCGACCAGGGGGCAGGGGCCAGGCGACCAGGCCCCCAGGCGACCAGGGGCCCCCAGGCGACTAGCCCTCAAGCGACCGAGGCCCCCTAGGCGACCAGGGGCCCCAGAAAACCGGGGGTCATCGGATGAGTGCAGGGGCCCATTGGGTCATCAGAAGGCCAGAGAAATGAAACTTCGATATCAATTTTCTTCCGAGTAAAAGACGTTTTATCCAGTGTTTGAAAAAAAATATCCCGGGGCCTGAGGGGCTCTCCCATGGCGCGTTTTGCGCTCAAGGGAGGGGGCCATTGCCCCCGTGGCCCCTCCCCCTTGGCTACGCCCCTGCCGATATTGTTATTCATGGACAAAGCCAGCTAAATCTCTAAATACGGCTGAGCTGAACAAATAAGCAAGAATCATTACCGGTTCGGGTAGCCTTTACTACAATGTATTATGTTAGTTAGCCCTCGCCCGATGAGGGGGGTTGATGCACCCCCCTAAGGTTTTTCACAAATAACGTAAAAACGGCGGCGCTCAAATTTCGCATACCCTCTGGGGCAACCTTTTGGCACTTGTCCTGAAAATTTCAGGTCTCTAGTCTTTTCAGGTCAGGTCACCAGGTCACAAACCCGGTACAAGGTCAGGGGAAAATTGGACTAACAGTTTAGCGGCAACCGAATGCCAGAGTTTTTCGTTGATAGCGTGAGTTCTATAGCACGTAGCGCTACCAAATTTAAGACACGACTTGGAGCATCTGTTTGTCACTTGGCCTTGGAGTTTTAGGTTCCAGTGACCCGAGGTCAGGTCACAAGGTCACAAAAACTGGTGCATTGTCAAAATAGCAAGAATACCGAATAAGAATACCACCTACCACGCAGTTTGCAGAGGGCTGTACATGTAACTCTGGAATGAATCGCTCGAGCATTGCTAACCATAAAACATACGACAAACGTTAACTTTGCAAACTATCATCTTATTTCCAATAACGGCACTGCTTATTTCGCCTCACCCCCGCCCCCCCCCCCGGTAACAGGTTATGAAATTGGTTGAACCCCAAAACAGTGGCTGGATCCACCCTTGGCCAGGGGAGTAGCGAAAATTTTGCCCACCCAGTGAAAAATCCTTAGAGGAGGCCCTGCGCGTTCTTGCGAGTTAGCGCCAATAACTACTCCACCAATATTGGCACCGGGCATTGTGAGGCACAGACGGCTTGTTTGCCCGTCTCCTATGGCGTAACGTTTACCAGCATGACCGTATGAGACACAGATGCACTTCTCATAAACACACGTCCAGACCGGAATAATAAGAGGGACACACCGTCACGTACGCAGGGCATATGCACGTTTTCCGCCAGTGGTACCGGCTACTGTTAGATTTCCCGTTTAGGTAATACTGGGTAACGAGGCAGTGAGAGGTTTCTATGGCAGAGGGAAGGGGAAGACTGGTACAGTGCAGTCGGAGAGTAAGTTGGAGCTATGCCAAAGGTAAGAAGCCGAAGGTCAGGGGTGAGTCACCCAAAGGGCGGATAAGGCAAGCTGTAGTGTCCCGAATAAGTCCTCATACTTATTTTGTAAGGGTACCTTAATCGGTACTGGACGGCCTCAGGGGAGGTAACGATGTACTCCAGGACACGTAAGGCCTTGAAAGTAAATCCCAGGGTTTAAGGAGAGTTCCTGAGGAGAGTTCCAGGATATGAACGGTGGTCCCTGGGTCGTGAACGGAGGTGTTACACGCGGACCGGAAGAGGGCATAGGTAATCTCTCCCAGATAGAGAGATAAGTCGGATGTAAATCGCGTATGTGTGTACCATAAGTCTATCGGACGTGTAGTGAATCCCATAAAATGGCAGGGTGGATATTTGTGCATTATTATTCTGGACGGCCCTGCGATAAGTATCTTTGTCGCCGGTTAGCGGAGCATGCATATGGATTTCGGAAAGAGACATTTATCTCGCCGGGGAGATCGCTATTAGTCAGGCACCTAACACCATCGGAGGGAATTCGAGGGGCGCTAAATAAATTTGGGTGAATATATGACGAACGAATGCAGAGAGAGGATGAGAGTGAGAATGGTAAAGTATGAATCTTAGGATAAGGCCGATGGGAGTTTAGCGAAGCTCAGTTAGGACAGTCAAACTAATGACCCTCGAGGGCAACTAAACTATAGCAACGCTAATACGAACTAAGTGGGCAATTTTCGTAATGGGGAGGCCAGTGATATAGGAATGGGTGACTGGACAAATGATCACATTCAATTAATCAATGTAATTACCACCCATAAGTTTGGCAGTGGTCATCGGGACTTCGAATGCCCTGTCCTTCACCTGCCCATCTGTGCCGCAAACCCAGCTGATCGGATCCCTCTATCCCTAATCCGAGCAGTGAAGAAGCATCTCGTTCATCATGGTCTATACAATGAACAGAATCATCAAGCCTCTAAATTAAAAAGCATCTTCCATCAGATGTATTTGTACGCAAGGTGGATCTGTATCTACATCTCCCTCAGGTGGACGTCATCTCTCCCAGAAGGGACATCTATCTCGGGATACCTACATCTCTTCTCAGGTGGATCTCATCACCATCTGGATCTCTCTGTAGATCTCTCTCGGGATCTTTTCCAAGACTCTCAAGTTCCCGTGTATCACCAGCTCTACTATCGAGTCATTACAGCAGCAAATTGTTCTTTCTCTCTGCTACAACAGCCGAACAACAGTGGACCGCAGTATTTGATGAACCGCAAAGAAGATGCAGCTTTTTTTATTCCTTCTTTCTTCTTTTCTCTAAATCCCCTCGCTACATATACTACGCGTTTTCTATGTGCATGGAGGGTCTCCCATGTGCACGGGGGCCTCCTGCGTATGTTTCGTTTCTCCTCCGTTCAGGGGCCTTCTCTATACTCGGAAGGGCCTCCTCTATATACTACGCGCCTTGAAGCCTTCTCTGTGCATGGAGGGCCTCCCATGTGGACGTAAACCTCTTCTGTATCCGACACACTTCCGCTTTAGATAGAGGGCCTCCCATGTGCACGGGGGCCTCCTGCGTACGTTTAGTTCCTCATCCGTTCAGGGGGACTCCTCTGTACTCGTAAGGGCCTCCTCTGTATACTACGCGCCTGCTCTGTACATGGAGGGCCTCCCATGTGCAAGGGGGCCTCCTTTGTATCCGACACTCCTCCGCTTTAGATGGAGGGCCTCCCTGTGCAAGGGGGCCTCCTGCGTACCTACGTTTTGTTTCTCCTCCGTTCAGGGGGCCTCCTCTGTACTCGGAAGGGCCTCCTCTGTATACTACGCATTTTCTATGTGCATGGAGGGCCTCCCATGTGCACGGGGCCTCCTGCGTACGTTTAGTTCCTCATCCGTTCAGGGGGCCTCCTCTGTGCTCGGAAGGGCCTCCTCTGTACATACACGGATGGCCTCCCATTTGCACAGGGGCCTCCTGCGTACACATAGTTCCTCCTCCGTTTCTGGGAGGGCCTCTCTTTGCAGGGACTGGGAGGGTCTTCTGGCACAGCAGAGCCTCATCTTAACATTGTAGAGTGACACTCAGGAAACCTTCTTTTGCATAAAAGTGCCATTTTTTGCACGGAAGCCATTAGCCTCTTTCAAGCATGGCTGGTCCTAAAAAAACGGAATAGAGGGCCTGCGGCCCTCTATTCCGAGCAAAGGGCCTCCACCCAGAACAGGGTGGGCAAAAAGATAGTTTTGCCCACCCTGAGATTTTTCAGGGTGGGCAGCTGCCCACCCTGCCCCCCGGAATCCGCCGCCCCTGGGCCCGGGGCCCGTTCTCCCGGGGGCCCGGACCCATCCACGGGGGGCCCGGGCCCCATCCACCCAGGGGGCCCGGGCCCCATCCACCCAGGGGGCCCGGGCCAGTTCTCTCGTCCGGTTAGATTAGGACCTCTCTCCTCCCTCCCTCCCTCCCTCCCTCCCTCTCTCTCTCTCTCTCTCTCTCTCTCTCTCTCTCGAGCGGGCCCCTGACAGAAATTTCGGGGGGGTCAGCTGACCCTCTGACCCCCCCTGGCTGCGCCACTGCTGCGGTACTTTTAAGACAGACTGTACGGTAGCAACTGCGGGTCCGGCTGTACCTGCGTTGGTGCGCTCCGAGTCGGTCACTTCCACGTAGAAGATGTGGAGTCGATCGCCGCTGGTGCCCACGTTTGACCTGCAGCGGAGAAAGGGGAGGGGGGAACGCTTCAGCCGCTGGACGCTTACCTGGTGCCGTTCGATCTCCGTCAGTCACCTGCACGAAATACAGCGTCATCCGAGAGCCGGTCAGCCCGGAGCCCCTGCAATAGATGGCCAATTGGCGCGCCGGAACGCACACAAAAAGCCAGTCAGCGCAGTCGACTGGAAATATAGACACCATTTCCAGCAGTCCGGCTCCCAATTCACCACATCATCCAACATTTTAACACTAACAGTGGCCTGTAAAATATATTCACTTCAAGACAACGACAAAATAATTCAGCGACCAGTTTTAACAACAGAAAAATAGGTAGCCGCCTACCGGAATTTTGCGGCCAAAAAGTCGCCAGCAAGTTTCACAAACCAGGCGAAAAGAAAAATCCGCCGAATTAAAATATATCAGCTAAGAAAACAGCTGAGTTTTCACCAACGTCCAATGCGGCACAAATGGTGGGCTTTTTGCGCCATTATAGGCAAGTAGAAAACCAGCCAAAAAATAGCAGGCAGCCCATCTAACTATTTGTTATACGACAAGCTAGACTAATCGGCGTTATTTGTTACTGACTGTCATGATTTGTGTTCCTCATTGTAGTGCAATAACGGAACTTTGGATTGCCATATGAGTTTTGAACGACCTGACACCAGTAATAAAAGCCCGACATAATGCTGAGCGGCCCGAGCGTAGAGAGGGAAGGTGAGGTAAGACGTCCCACCGGGGCAAGATGGACCACCAGCCTTCCCGGCTGAGCCGCTGCTGTTATCTGCTGCTTTATGCACTCACTAACTTTGTTTTCATTTGTACCAATGCCCACCTTGAACTCATGTGGCCAGGATACACAGCCTTTGAGCTATTGAAAAAATATTGTTTTTCGTAAAAGTGATCTAATATAAGAGGGGCATTCCACGATAGATCGTACCAGGCTCGTCACCCTCATCTGTCAGATTTGAAAGAAAATCGGTACTAGGGGTAATCATAGGCCCCAAAGACGCCTGGCAAAATATTAGACTTCTCAGATCAAAACTTTTTGAGTTATATTGCATAACATTTTTTAACTTCGGTTTGTAACGGTGAGTTTGATGGCCTATAACTCAAGAACGGGTTAAACAACCAACAAACGGTAAACAGCACTAAGGTTGCGATGAATCAAAAATTAATATTACTTTTTAAAAATTCCAAAGAAAAATTTTCATTGTTGAACAACAACCTTAATCTTTTTTTCATTTGCCTCTAATGACTTTTGGGACCAAAATTTTTCACATTTTTATTTTTTCAAAATAAACTTCATGTCACTGCAAATCATATTATTCATTGCAAATCGACATGCAAAAAATTAGAAAGGTGTTCTTTCTTTAAGTTCTTCATTTTCCCGCAAACAAAATGGGTTTCGAAGGGGTTGATACGACCCCAGCACGCCGTTTCGCTTCTAATAGAGCTAGAGCCTCGCGGAAAAATGAGCGTGTGTGCCGTTACAAGTCGCAGCGATTGGTACCCGATTTTAAGGTCTCAGGTTAACCGGTAGCGTCTGAGGTCAGGTCACGTGACTGAAGTTACGGGTTCGGTTTTTAGTAAATAACTTCGCAAAAAATGGCCGCAGAGCCGCGATTTTGACATCATTGTGTTCGCCTAGCTCAGGTGCGTCGAATGATATACTTTTTGTTAGGGTAAGGTCAACTTAAGGAGTCGACCTCGGGTCAAGGTCAAGTCAGAGCCCTCAGGTCACGAAGCTGGGCAAAGGGTATCATATGGCATATCATTCGATTTGGAAGGTCTTCCCGAGTCCATTGGTGGCTTTCCCGACTCTAGCTCAATTTGATCGGGAGTTATTGAGGAAAAACTCGTACGACCCCAGTGACGTCATAAATGACTTCACGCAAGGCTAACAATGAAAAAGTGAAGCATTGGACTTTGCAAGTAGTGCATGAAATCACGATACCATGAACCTGAGATAGTTTTAGATCATTATCAGCGCCAAAATAACAGTTTTATATTTCCCCATTGACTTATAACAGTGATGTCACGTGACCGACCTGACCTCATGTGACCTTAAAAAATTCCCAGATATACTAGTTGTGAGACCACTGGAGGACACCATGTATGCATCCTGTAACTTTCATCTCGGACAGCTATGGTCATTGGCGTCCAAAACAATGTCAGAACCAAACAGCCTTTTTCATTCTCGCGCTTATAGAAAAGAGGGTTGGATGAACCCTCTTTTCATTTTTTCAGATGACTCAGACTTCAATTGAATTTTCAGTAGCCCGTGATGTCACTAGGCAGCTTTACCACGCCATTTGTAAGCTCCCCTCCCGAAATCACTATTCGAAACCGTTATCGTGACGTAAAATAAATACATTTATCGAAAGAACATCATAGTAATTCGTATTCGTTTCGGGCTACACTGAGGTAAAAAATTGTTAAAACCAAATATTTCGGCTTTATTGAGTAGCCTTGTTCACTGGTTTGAAATATGAAATACAAAAAGACGATACAAATGTGATGACATGCGAAACAGGTTCGTGCTATCAATGATCTGTGACTTCCTTTTTTTTACACTGTGCATACGCTGAAACAACCATACAGTTCAAATCATCACACATCGTTATGACAGTCGTAATAAGATATTATACATCGTCTGATTCGTATCATCGTCGAAAGTCGGAATCGTATAAGCGCCAGACGGTCTCTTATAAAAATGCATTAAAACCTGTACTTTGGCTATCATGCAAAGACAAGAAAGAGTACCTAGATACTTTTGAGATGCAAAAAAAACTATGGTTCCCCATTTTCTCTTTAAAACTAACACATGTCAACACAAAGCAACGTCCCAAATCGGGCTAATGGTAGCTTTGCCCACCCCCCTATTCATTGCTGACTTGTGTATCTTTATCTCTAGAGCTTCCCGAATCGTTCTTCTTTTCCAGTTCCGTTCAATGGCCAAGGTTGTAGCTTTTCGCGGGTCCAAATCTCTAGCACATGAGAAGGCGTGTTGTGCTGTAGCCGATGTGTCCGTGCGACCATGTCTTATATCAGCCACATGTTCTTTCAGCCTCGTAAGCTTGGGACGTCCACTTTCTCCGACATAAGACTCCCCGCAATCACATTTAATCTGATAGATGACACCCTTTTGCATTTCTGGATCCGTCTTGTCTTTTACTTGAACTAGATGATCTCGAAGCGTTCTAGATTTGTGCCCTGTTTTGATGTTGTGTTGACGTAAAAGTCTTGCTATGGGCTCGCTCAGTCCTTGCACGTAAGGTAAAGAAATGTACGTTGTTCGGCTTGTTTCTTCATGTGCATCTGTCCTATTTGCTTTCTTCTGCGCTAATCCCTTTTTAATCACATGATTTGGGTATCCGTGCTGCTCGAACACTTTCCCTAAATGCTCCTTTTCTTTCGCTTCCGCTTCTTTGGTGCTAGATATTTTCTCTGCTCTCCTGGCGAGGTTTCTGATGACTCCAACCTTCACTGCTGACGCGTGATTTGAGTTGTTTCTTATGTAAGTGTCACTTGCCGTTGGTTTCCTGTAAACAGCGGTTCGAAGACCCTGTGCATTGTCCCTGCTGACGCATACATCGAGAAACGACAGTTGGCCGTCCATTTCCTTCTCGGCGGTGAATTGAATACTTGGATATAGGCTGTTCATAAGCTGCATGAATTCATCTAAAGCTGTTTCCCCGTGAGACCAGATAACAAAGGTATCGTCTACATATCGGCGCCAGTAGGATGGTTTTAGCGGAGCTACAGCTATTAGCCTTTCCTCAAGATGCTCCATGAAAGCGTTGGCGAGTACAACTGACAGGCTAAGCCCCATCGGCGCGCCTTCTACCTGTTCAAAAAACTCTCCTTGGAAGACAAAGTATCTACACTCAAGACAGGCTAACATCAGCCTACGGATAGCATCTACAGAGAGCTCACTCCTCTCGGCCAGCGTTTCGTCATCATTGAGTTTCTGACACACTACATCCACAGCGTCCATCACAGGTACTTTAGTAAATAGAGAAACAACATCAAAGCTCACCATTACATCTGATTGCGAGATTTCCATTTCCCTCAGCTGATCTACGAAAGCACTTGAATTGGGTACCGTATACTCAGATTTGCCCACCACAGGACTGATCACCTTCATCAGGTACGATGCTGTTTCGTACGCTGGAGAGTCGATCATGCTAGTGATAGGTCTCACTGGTGTTCCTGGCTTGTGGGTCTTGGGAAGGCAGTAAAGTTTAGGAGCGGTCGTGTGAGTCGGACGTAATTTCTTCGCAAGTTCGTTCGTCATATCGCCGTTCTTCCTCAGAGAGTCGATCACGTTTCTCATCATTTTTTCTTTTCCAGGTGTAGGATCGCTTGGTACCTTCCTATAGGCAGGATCATCGAGCAGAGTTTTCACCTTGTTGGTGTAATCCTCAGTTGCCATTACTACTACCCTATTTCCTTTGTCTGAAGGGAGTACTTTGATGTCTGATCTTCTTTGTAAATGCTTCAGAGCATCTCTCTCCTGAACAGTCATATTGTCTTTTAGCTCTTTTTGCTTGGCCTTGGCTATGAGGCCACTGACCTTTGACCTGGTGGCATTTGCCGCTTCTATGTTAGTTTCTTTGGAAAGTCCTGCTTCTACTGCTGCAATGATCTCTTTAACTGGTAAAACATTAGGAGTTGGAGCAAAGCCCAGACCTTTTTCCAGAACATGAATATTTTGAATATCTATGTCTCTCAAAGGCTTACCACTTATGTTTTCAACTGGGGTTTTCGCCACATGAACCTTCTGGCCGGCTGACATACGTTCAGATTCATCGCAAAGCCTCTCAAACTTCTTAACGTGATTCTTTTTGACGTTAAAAAATGTTCGCTTGGCTGACTTGTCAGTAACCCTATGAACTGTGACCATGTCTTCTCCAGCGAGCGTTGATTCAAGCGATCTGATGAGCTTGTTTTCTCCCTCAACTTTTCCGCCTTCTTTTTCTTTAAGCTGTTGATGT